TACAGTACAGTAGAATAAAATCTGAAAAATGTTTTCTTTTGAGTTCAGTGATTATTATGCTAGGGTTTGGAAGATGCTACACAAAGAATTAAAAAAAATTATTACATATGAAATGTACTTCATTATTTTTAACAGAGTTCAGCAACTAAATTATTACCTTTAATTTTTCCCGACTTGTTGGGGATTGACGACATTTATCACCCACCTACATCTGGCAGTGCAGGACCTAACTTTGTTTCTAGAGGGTTGGTATCCCCACACTGAGCTGTGTTACTTGAAAGGATCAACTAGAGGATGGATTGCCTTTCAAACAATGGAAGCAACAATTTGGGAAAAGCAAAATATGCCAGTATGACAGGTAAAGAACAAGTATATTTGTCTTTTGTTTCCCACATGCATAGTGAATGTTTACCTCTAGTTAATTTCTTGGATCACCACCCATGACCCAGTCCTAGACCAGGCCTTCTGGTTGATAATGTGCTTTGATTCAACAGTCCTCACACCATGGCAGAAAAAACATGGACATAGGTTTTTAAAAGTTCACATGGGACACCACACTGCCAGATGTGTAGTGTTCTTTAATTTGCTCATTTATATAAAATATTTTTTAACACTCCGGCCATCTCCCACCGAAGTAGGATGAACTGACAAAGAAGGAAATGCTCACTGTTACTTGTTCAATCACTGTCTTGCCAGAAGGGTTCAACTTAAAATACTGTAAAACTAAAAATTCTGTAAGCAGAAAACTTAGAAACTGAAGCTGGATAATGCATACAAAAATATCTCAGCATTGCAGCAAACAGTTCACTCCTCCATTCCTAATACATCCCCTTTTCTACTGAGCACAGATGCAATTCCTGCATCAATATCCAACCTGTTCTCCTAAATGCAAGTTGATTTTCTCTCAATGATTTCAGCAAATTTCTTGGTTGATGTTATTTAGATTTAGTTAGTTAGGTTAGATGGCATCTGTAAATAAAAACTAACCAATTATAACTAACATATCACAATACTAATACAGGCTGAATATTATTACATTCATGGGGAAGCTGGGGTTCCTAAAACCACAGGAATCATACAGCATCTGCAGGAAAATGGAAGACAATCAGGGTCAATCCAAGAAAAAAAATGAGATCCAATTTCTTGGATCAAGAGCCCTCAATGGCATCAGGGCACCTCCTTTGAGAAGCAATACTGTTATATAATCAATGTTTAAGACTCGTGTAACACTCATTCATCTGACTGTCTTAGCCACTATGACTGATGGGAATGGGCTACAATATCCCAGTAACACAAAATATGTATACTCAACCAGGTGACGCTACAACACAATCAAACATGTCAACAATGTGAGCCCTAATTCATCTTCTGTATTTCATTGTCATAAAGAATGCTATTAACCAAGCTGGAACAAGTGACAACCCAAAGAAATGGAAAGAAAACTGACTTTTCAATCCATTCTAGACCATTATTGACTAAATAATGGTCTAGGGCAGACAAAAGATTTTCTAATGTTTCCTCTAGAAACAAAGGGTTAGTAACGAAGTCATATTGTATGATCATAGAAACTCTCCATTTGTGGCCACAACACATTAATCCTTCATACAGTCTACACTATTTTAATATACATCTTAAAAGCGACCATACTAAATTTGTATCTACCCACTGAATTTGAGAGCTTGTACAGTGGACCCCCATTATCGTAATTAATCCGTTCCAGAGTGTGTGACTAAAGGCGAATTTGACGATATCCGAATTCATTTTCCCCATAAGAAATAATGTAAATCCAATTAATCTGTTCCTAACACCCAAAAGTATTAAAAAAAATCATTTTTTTACATGAAATATACATTTACCTACACAGAAAACAATGAGACATGAAGAATAAAACAATAACAACATGACGCTTACCTTTATTGAAGACTTGTTCATGTATGGAAGATGGGAGGAGGAAAGAGGATGGAGGAGTTACTATTGTTTAGAAGGGAAATCCCATTCCATAAAGACTTCAGGTACCAAGTCCTTTTCCAGGGTTACTTCCCTTCTTTGTTTTTTCATGCCACTAAGACCAGCTTGAGTCACTGAACCCCTGTCGCTCATCAAAAAATTGTTCCAGAGAGCTCTGTTTCTGGCGTTTCTTTAAAATTTCCCTAAAATGGGACACGACACTGCCACTGTACATGTTGCCAACATAGCCTGTAACAGCTTTGTCAGGGTGATGTTCATCCATAAATGTTTGCACCTCGCTCCACTTTGCACAAATGTCCTTAATCTTTGAAGAAGGCACCTTCTTTCATCTCTCTTCCTCCACCTCTGAAGCAATTTCCTGAGCTGTGGTCTGTTGATGTTGCAGATGAAGGCCTTGTAACTCTTCAGTGGTTAGCCCTTCATTGTGGTCCTCCACCAACTCTTCCATATCCTCGCCACTCACATCCAACCCCATGGAATTCCCCAACGCCACAATACTTTCCATAACTGCCATAGGCTTGTCAGGGTCAGCCCCAAACCCTTCAAAATCCCTCTCTTGGACACATTCTGGCCACAATTTTCTCCAAGCAGAGTTCAAAGTCCTGGAAGTCACTCCCTCCTAAGCCTTACCAACTTCTAGTGCCAAGCCTGTGGTAAAAAGGGTGAGAATTACTATGGAAATGAAGAAAGAGATCACTGAAAAATATGAAAGTGGAGTGCGTATGTCCGAGTTGGAAAGGCTATATAACAAACCCCATTCAACCATCACTACTATCTTGGCGAACAGAAAGGCAATCAAGGAAGCTGTTGTTGAGAAAGATGCAAGTATGTTTTCAAAACGGAGATCGCAAATAACTGAAGAGGTGGAGAGACTGTTGGTGTGCATAAACGAAAAACAATTATTAGGAGAGAAGTGTCTTTCAGTCAATAATACGTGAACAGGCAAGGCAGTTGCATGATGATCTCATTAAGAAAATGCCTCAAAATAGTGATGATTGATGAATTTAAGGCCAGCAAAGGCTGGTTTGAGAGATTTAAGAATCGTAGTGGCATACACAGTGTGGTAAGGCATGGTGAGGCTGTCAGTTCAGACAAAAAAGGGGCTGAAAGATATGCGCAGGACTTTAAGGAATACATAGACTGAAAACTTACAACCTGAACAAGCGTTTAATTGTGACGAAACAGGCCTGTTTTGGAAGAAAATTTCAAACAAGACCTACATTACTCAGGAGGAAGAGGCACTCCCAGGACATAGCCTATGAAAGACAGGCTGACATTAATGTTGTGTAGTAATGCTACTGGTGACTGCAAAGTGAAGCCTTTATTGGTGTATCACTCTGAAACTCCCAATGTGCTCAAGAAAAACAACAGTGTCAAGGGTAATTTGTGTGTGCTGTGGAGATCAAACAGTAAGGCATGGGTCACTAGGGAAATTTTCATGGACTGGTTTTATGGTGTGTTTGGCCCCACTGTGAAAAATTACCTCCTGGATAAGAAATTGTCACTCAAGTGCCTCCTGGTAATGGACAATGCTCCTGCTCATCCTCACGACTTGCAAGAGCAAACTGCAGGGGAGTTTAGCTTCGTTGAAGTGAAGTTTTTGCCTCCTAATACAATTCCTCTCCTCCAGCCCACGGACCAGCAGGTCATTTCAAACTTCAAAAAACTCTATACAAAAGCAGTGTTTCAAAAGTGCTTTGAAGTGACCTCAGACACTGAATTGACCCTAAGAGAGTTTTGGAAAGATCACTTCAATATCCTCAGTTGCATAAACCTTATAGGTAAGGCTTGGGAGGGAGTGACTTGCCGGACTTTGAACTCTGCTTGGAGGAAACTGTAGCTACAATGTGTACAAGAGAGGGATTTTGAAGGGTTTGGAGCTAACCCTCAGGAGCCTATGCCAGTTGTGGAAGCTATTGTGTCATTGGGGAAGTCCATGGGGTTGGAGGTTTGTGGCGAGGATGTGGAAGAGTTGGTGCAGAATGACGATGAAGAACTAACCACTGCAGACCTGCAAGAGCTTGAAGTGCAACAGCAACAGATCACAGCTCAGGAATGTGCTTCAGAGCAGGAGGAACAGAGACGGAGGAAGTTCCTTTCGTCAAGGACTAAGGAAATGTGTGCAGTGTTTACGAAGGTGCAAGCATTTATTGATGAATTTTATCCTGTCACAGCTGTTGCAAGCTGTATTGGCAACATGTACAATGACACTTGTGTCCCATTTTTGGGAAATCCTAAGGGCACGTGAGAAACAGAGCTCTCTGGACAGATATTTTGTGCGACAGGGGTCCAGTGACTCCCAAGCTGGTCCTAGTGGCATTGAAAAAACCAAGAAGGGAGGTAACCCCAGAAAAGGACTTGTTACCTATAGTCTTTATGGAAGGGGATTCCCCTTCCAAACAATAGAACACCTGAATCTCCCCTGCTGCTGGCACATCACTCATCAACAATTCCACAATAAAGGTAAGTGGCATTTAATTATTGTTTATTTTGCATGTACCATTTGTTCCTGTGTAGGGAAATGTATATTTCATGTAAAAAAAATTATTTTTTTAATACTTTTGGGTGTCTGGAATGGATTAATTCTATATTTCCATTATTTCCTATGGAGAAAATTAATTCAACTAAAGGCTAGCTCTCTGGAATGGATTAAGGCCACTGGTCAAGGGTCCACAGTACGCGTTTGGGACAAATGACTATTACCAAGGTAAATGACAATCACCGAGCCAATATTTCGATGAAAAAAAAAAAAAATTACGATTACCGAATATTACAAAATCCAACGACTACAACATCCGGGGGTCCACTGTAGTTTCATAACACAAACTGTAAATCTCAGGTAGACACAGAATAAGTCTTATCACCTACATGAGACAGCACTAAACCCTTAGGGGGTTACACAGTGCCTGGAGAATCGACTGATATCATCTTTGATTCAAAAGGATAAATCCAATTCCTTGGACTAAAATCCCTTCAATGGTAAGAAGGCACAACTGCTCTTGGAAGGACAGATGGTGCAGGCAAAGACTTAC